CCCCCCCCCGACCCCCAGGTCATCCAACTTCACAGCCTCACTTCAACGCTAAGAAACTCCTACTTCTAATTCAGCTTACCAGCTAAATTACATCAGGAAGAGCCTGCAATTGTGTTCCTGACACTAGAAGTTGAAAAATTAATTTTTAAAATGTGAATGTACATAGGTAGATATCTTGAGGTCTGAGCCTAGTTTGGTGACATAAATCTAGACTGAATATTAAAAAGTGAGACCAGAGCTTCCAAACAAATGTGACAAGAAAGTATTATAGGTATGATGAGCTACTGATCTCCTCAACCCTCAGAGAAGGCTGGAGCCTCTCCAATCTACCAGCAAAGTTCATTTGCCCTGGTGTGCCATACAAACAGTATAGTTTTCTAGGTGTGTTCTGATGTAAAAACTGTTGGAGGCCATGGAGTTAGGACATAATCCTGTGGTAATGCTACCCTGGTGCGGCATCCTGTGTCACCTGTCTTAATACATCCCATTGTATTCATTACATTCCTATATTACAAATAACTGCTAAATTCCATTTTTGATGAAATTACAAATGTTTCTTCTTGAATAATGAGAAAAACTGTATTTATAACCTATCTACTTAAAAATTTAAAGAATTGTGACAATATACACATAAAACTTAACTACCTTGGCCATTTAAAAATGTACAGTTCAGTAGCATTAGTACAGTCACATTGTGCTACCATCACCACCACTCATTCACTGAACTCTTATCTTACGTAACTGAAACTCTGTACTCATTAAACAGTAACTCCCCATTCCCCCTGATCCCTGGCAACCATCATTCTATTTTCTGCCTCTATGAATCTGACTACTTTAGGTATGTCCTATCTATTTTTATTCCTCTTTTGTCCTAAGGGAAAGTGCTAATGAGTGGTGAAATGACTAAGTTAGGCAAAAGAATGTAGTAAGACAGGAAAAAAGTCTATAGAATATATATATATATATATTATACATCTTATTCTTGAATAATGAAAAGGAGCACCAAGTAGAAAATATTTTGTGAATACTGTACTTTCGCTGTCCTTGGAATTTCTCACCCTGAAACCCTCATTGTCCAAATTCTGGAGATTCTTCAAGGTCACGCTCCAATACGTTCTTGTTCCGGGAGCCGATCAATATCACAGCATCTATCACAGCAGTTTGTATTTCCTTTAAAGCAGTCTACTAATTACATCTTACACTACTGTTTGTTGACTTATCCTTGATCCAGAGGGGAAGCATCTTTAAAGCTGACTTAATGACCAGAGATTCTCTTCTATAATGTTTAACACAGGTTCTTGCATATAGTCAGCATGCACTTGTTGAGTTGGATTTTTATCCTCATTTGGCAAATACTTACTGAGTATCTGTGTGTTTGTGTGCTGGGCGAGGCGATGGGAACACAGCTCCTGTCCTTCAAGCATTAACGTTCTGTGGTCCCATCTAGTCTTAGTTAGCACATTAAAGGCCTGCAAAAAAACTCTGCCACATCTGTGATTTCAGTGGCCGGAGCTTTTATAGAAAATGCACCTTTTGGGGTTATTTTCATATGTAAACATCACATGAGCACTGTAAAACAGTCATGTGAATATAAAAGCACGTAAAGAAAAATGTCTCTAGCTCTTACTCCCCTTCTCCTCTGTATCACAGCTCTGCCTCCACTCCGCTGCCCAGCTAATAGTAGTTTTGTGCTTTCCTCATATTTTTAATGCATATATAAACACGCATCCATCCCTCCACCCATTATTCAATTTAATATCAGGGAAAAATACCAACAACAAATAATCTCAGCCAAAAGATCTGGAAGTAAATTAGAAATGTTTCCATTTTAGCTATAAAACCATAAGATTATGAAATGATTAGGTCTTATTTTCAAATGTTTGCATCACAAATTCCTTATTAACAGGATCAGAGAAGATGTAAAAAATATTGTTATGGAAAATTGAAAATATTCAAAATAATAATTGTAAAAATTATGATGCCTTAAGAGCATAATAGCATGTTAGTATAAAAGAAGTCCAGACAGACCTCATTTCATATAATTTTTCTTCTAATTTTACAGATTAAGAACCAGCTCGAGCATTTAAATGACTTGTACCAGGTGACCCAGTCAGTTCACATTTTCTGCATTACTAGCACACAGTCTTGACTTGACTGGTTTACAGTATCACTTCTCGGTTTTCATTAGAACATGGGTGAACTCATACTCTCAAACATTTTCTCTTATCATAAAAGCAGTTCATTGTAGGAAACTGCCCCCCCCCAAATATAGATATGCATAAAGATGTCCTATTAAAAACCACCCAATGAATACTCTGTAGTTTGAATCTTCTTAATTTTATTCTCACTGTATAACTTTATCTTGAGGACTAGAGAGATCTTGCTATTACTTATGTACTGGTTATAGTCAGGATTTCAGGATATCAGAATCAGCTTACCAGCTGAAGTCAGATGGGCAGCACAACAGGGTCAGAAGAATAGTTAGTTCACTGCTTGGCACAGACAAGGGTCAGAAAAGCAGATCAGAGAGTGTGATAGGCTTTAAGTCTTTGGTGGATCTTGCGGTTTTCAACTGATCTTATGGTTCCCATTATCATCAATGTACTCTGTGTGCTCTCTTCCTGTAGATTATAACATAATAGGCATACATACAGTGCTTGCCATAATCTCAGCTCACTTTCTGAGGAAAACTTGCTTGCCATGGTCCTTCTGAATAAACAGCCGTAGGCAGCCGCATTTTTTTTTTTTTTAGCTGAGCCATCCCGCCACCTGTTGGCAGCTCACGGCTGCTCAGCTCGGGCTGACTCGAACCGCTGTTGCTCAGAGCTNCGTCGCCGGTGACTCATGGCAGCCCAGCTCCAGGTTGAGCTGTTGTTCAGCATCTTAGCTGTAGAGGGCAGTGTCACTGGCTCTCATATGTGGGATCTGAACCGGGGCCCTTTGGCGTCCCAAGCCAGCTCTTAACCAATGCGCCACTTGGCCGGCCCTCAATAAACCTCTTTTGAATGAACAAATGAATGAATGTTGATTTGGTCTGCTGTGACCAAAGCGTCTCAGTTCTATTTAAGTCTGTACATAAAGTCTCATGACAGTCTATAGTTACGAGTTTCCCCTATGTCATACTGTTTAGGTAGAAGTTAGGAGGAGGAGAGGTGGGTGGGAGGGGGTCCATGGTTCCTACAGAAAAAGCTCATAAATAGCTTTAACTGCCTTCAGCCACGCACCTGTTTTTACAGCAGATGAGCAGAGGTGGTCTGGAGTAAGACAAGGATCTGAGTCAACACACTTCCACGCCCTCCCATGGAAAAGCATGCACCTCCTTTACCTGCCAAAACAATATGTCACTCCCCCACCCCACGCAGCAAACTATAAGTCCTCGGGACAACAGGCCTAGGTCTCTCTCTGTCCCTCTTGTGCGCTGGCTCTGTCTCTCTCTCTCTCTCTCTCCTCCTCTGCCCCTCCTCGGCTAGGCCCGTTCTCAGAGAAGAGAAAGTATCACTAATAAACCCCGCTTGCACACTAATTAGCTTGCTGACCTTTGCTTCTTTACCGTGTCGGCAAGAACAATTGAGGCTTCCATTAACAATATGAAAGAAAATGCCACTACGGTAATATGGCTCCAACAAATCTAAGGCAACATCGCCCTTTATAAACATAGTGGACAGTGTGTATGATTCTAAGTAATGTCACAACTGCTAAGTGAAAGTGACAATAACAGTAAGACATGGAAATAGCGTATCCTGTTGTATGAGTTCAAATTCACTGATACATTCGCTCTTTCTATTGGTGAAATTCTGCCTTCAGTCATATTACTGTCTGAAATTCAGGTTCTCTCTTAATCGCATTAGGATACACTATGTTAGAGTGATTTCTTTCTTTTTAAAAAATTATTAGTTTCAGGTGTACAGAACAATGCAATAGTTATTCTTTTCACCCCTCACAAAGTGACAACCTCCCTCCCCATTCAACCGCCCCCTCCCCCGATATCTTACATATGGATTACAATCCCATTGACTCCACTCCCTACACTGTACTCCACATCCTGTGACTATGTATACATATTAAATTATAGTTGACAAGCGTTTTCTCATTTACATCACTATCTATGTCTAATCACTACCAAAATTCAAACAAATTCCAATGTAGATAACAGTGATTCTGGAAAGTTGATGTCTGATTCTCATGAGATGTATATTCTTCATTTCTAGGTAGGTATTTTGTCAGTAAGGTATTATTAGTGACAGCCCTAAATTCCAGATACTGGAAATTTCTAAGCCTTTATCACTCCTGAATAGTACTGAGCAATGGACATAAGCGAGATCACGGATTAGCAAATTCAGGTCTCTGGTCTGCAACAGGCAGTAGATACTGCATGTGGCTCAGAAGTCTAAGACATTTACTGTCTTGCTCTTCAAAGAAAACTTTGCCAACTCCTGATAGATGACTGTTAAATGAAGTGGGCACAATAACACAATTCAGATACATAATTAACTGCTTTTTATTTTGGTTTTATTAACGATTATTATTACCTGAAACTAATAAAAAAAATTAAAAAGCCAGAAGAGGGCATCTTGGCAAGATAGAAAAAGGCCTAGATGAGGAGGTAGAAACCTGGATCTTTCCCCAGCTTTGTCTCAAACTCACTTTGTGGTTTTGAGTCATGTAACATCTCTGAGTCTCAAGTTACAGTGAAAAGGAGGCTGAAGTTTGCCTGACATAATAATGTATGCGACAGGTAGGGCTGCTGTAACAAAGTATCACAAATTGGTAGTTTAAATGACAGAAATTTATTTTCTTACAATTGTGGAGGCTGGAAGACCCAGCTCAAGGTGTCAGCAGGGTTTGCTCTTTCTGAGGGAAGGATCTGTTTCAGGGCTGTCCCCTGGGCTTGCAGATGGCTGTCTTCTCCCTGTGTCTCTTCACAGAGCTATCCCTCTACACCATGTCTCTGTGTCCATGTTTCCTTTTTTTATAAAGACACCAGTCATGTTGGGTTAGGACCCACCCTAAAAACTTCCCTTTAACTTGATTATTTCTCTGTACACCCAGTCTCCAAACAAGGTCATATTCTGAAGTACTGGGGGGTGGGTGGGTTAGGACTTCAACATATAAAGTTTGAGGATGGGGGATACAATTCAGTCGAGAACACTTAACGTCACAGAGGTGCTATGATAATCAGATGACACAACTTTATGAAAGCCCTTTGCAGAAGGTTCTGTGCAAACTCAAATTTTAAGAAAATCATTAAGAACATTATAAAAAAATGGCGTTCAAGCAGTAACTTGGGGGGCAAACACTGACTTAAGAGCCAGAATTCCCAGGACTCAGCAAACTGGTCAAGTCCCTTAGCTGGTTTCCCTGTTTTCACTTTTTGGATCATGAGGAAATTAGGCTCATGATTTCTACTATGACTTTAGCTCTAATATTCTGCTAGTTCTAATTTCATTGCTTTATAATAACTTTCTGATTATAAGAAATGAACATTCATTATAGAATAATTGGAATACATCTAAAAGCATAAGAAAAAAGAATTAGCCATAATGTTATAACTCTGTAAGAACCTCAGTGTTCACATTTTGGTATTTTTCCTTCTAATTTTTCTCCCAAATATGTAGAGAGAGATGTTATATGTAATGATATATATGTCATATATTATATATATATATATAATGAGTGATTGATATATACATAAAATACTCATTAGGCACATATTCTTTTTATACATTGGAGTGCATAGTCTCTATACAATTCTGTATCTGGCTTTTTTCACCTGATATTATAAGATTTTCTCCTACATCATTAAAATTCTTTAAATATGCAAAACAAGTTACTAAAAATTACAAAAACTCCTTTAGCTATTTAAACAGTGTTTTTTATATTACTATTTTAATAAAGTTATTTACCCTTCATACCCATAAAATGGCATTTTATATAACAAATGTTGTTATGCCTCTTCAGTTACTAACAGAGTTAATCTTTTAACTGAGGTGGGCTCTTATTTCCTGACTATTTCACGTTTTTTTAAAAAGACTCTTATATTCTCCATTATATGAACCAGTATGAATGTTATGAGACATAAATTACTTAAAAGTGACCTTTTATATTGGAAAAATTGCTTAAATATTTATATGCTGAATTATATTTGTAATTTTATAAAGGAATGGTACAAATTAATGAAACCTTTGGTTTATTAGTGGAGTGTTAACAGGCCCTAAAATAAACTGTATTTAGTAAAGAGCTCAGAGGGCTGTGGTAGAAACAAGTGACAGGATTGACAGAAAACCTACCAGAAGTAATTTTCTATGTTACAATGTAATTCTGGAGATAAATGAGTCATAAGATAGGTACCTTTGTGCCATCCAGAAGCAGCCAACTGAAACACTAATATATAACTTGGGAACTATAATATATTGAGAAAGTATGTAAAATTGAGAAAGAATGATGACTGATAATGCAGATCTAATAAACTAGGTTGAGTATTCCTGGAATCTGGAAAAAGAGCAAGAAATTAAGAATCTATTGGTGCTCTATTCCTGCCACTTTTCTAAAGAAAGACTATGTTTAGTAGATAAAATTACTTTGTTTTGCAAAAAAGATATAAGCTGGGACTCGAATAAATAAATATTTATGACTCCTCAGAGGCAGGGCCTA